CCCCCCTCCCGAGTCTTCCTCGGCCCATCGGCCCGTCCCATGACTCATGTGCGATGCGCCGGCTGATGAGAGCCGAGAGGAGCCATGAGCGTCACGGACCGGGCCGGGCGCTGGTCCAGACGGGCCAACGTCACCCGCGAGGACCCGCTCCGCGACCCTCCCCTCCCGCACCCCACCACTGCTGTATCCGGCTTTGTTTCCTACTCCCGCTGAGGCGAGCGAGCGATCACCTGCTGGGCCCTGCCCCCTGTCGCGTTGTTGGGACAAGTAGTTGAGGTTGAGATTTTTGCTCAACGTCGTAAAGAAAGACCCCTATGGTCCGCTCGGCTGAGATGTGGGGTAGTCTGTAACGTTAGTTTCCTCCGAACTGCAAACACACTGTGCCGCCTTACGGGCAAAAGAAGGTAGGCAAATCCGCAACGCTGAAGTGCATTTGCATTTAAATATACACCCGGTATGCAACATATGTTCCATAGTCGGGAGCTGCTAGTCGAAACGCCTCTCGTTCATCGCTCAAAGGGAGAATGGTGTCTGTTCTTTCTTTGGGCGTTGGCTGCGGGGTGTGTGAGGGGGCCCACAGTTAAAAGCTTACAGTGATTTCCACCGTAAGCTACAGTGAAAGCCTCCAGCAATGTAGCTTACGGTGCGATTCACCATAGCTTACGACGAGATTCACTGTAGCTTACATGAGTGAAATTCACCGTAGCTTACAGCGAAAATCACCGTAAAGCTTCAGTGCTGCAGGCTTTCACTGAAGCTCACGGCGAAAATCACCGAAAGCTTTTAACAGTGGGTCGTCATCGTCGCATGCAAATGCAGCCCTGGGTGCGGCCACCAGCAGCCCCGGGGAGCCCCGCCCAGCGCAAGGACCTCTCCATGTGTGGCGCCCGCTTGGCCGCGGCGCCGTCGGCGTGGCCCTGGAGGCGGCGGTGGAGGAGGAGAAGGAAGAAGCTGCCCGCACACGCTTTCTACGAGTCTCGCTAGGTTGGCCCGCTGATTAATATCGTTAGGAGGCGATTAGAAACCGCGCGGAAGGCGCCATACTGCACCACAGCGGTCCGGTCCGGCCCGGGCCGGGCCGCGCTCTGCTCCGGGCCGCTCTGCTCTTCTCCAGCGGCCGGTCGGCGCGGTGTTATCCAACAGCCCACCGGCAGCTAGCCGGTCCCTCGGGTCGGCAGCCTCGGCGGTGCGCACGGGGAGCAGGACCAGCACCAGCAAGCTGCGTGGAGGGGTGCTGCCAGATGAGAACGCCTGTAGAGGCAAAGGACGCAAACAGAGGCCCCTGTGCGACTCTCTGTCGACACGAGAGCCGAGCGAGCAGCAAGGGTGACTTACGTCACAAACCTACTGATAAACTAAGTGTGCAATTTGGTAGCTGTGCACTTGCAAGGGTGCAAATCCTCTGGTGAACACTTTCTTTAGATTGGACGCTCACTCTGTGGGAAGTGCTTAACAGCAGAGTTGTACACATACAAAGTGCTAAGCAGTTGCACACTTAGCCAGTGTCGATGCCACGCGTGTAAAGCCATGGATCATCCATCCGGCCGTGATGTTCTAGGGTCCGTGAGCCACCCTGTGTGTGAGTAACGGCCACTGCACGTGGGCCTCGGCGGGCGCGGGTATTATACGGCCCAAAATGTTGTCGACCCCGGAGCCACGCTGCTGCGCAACAATAGTCCATCGTCGCGTTAGCCTCCAAATCGGGTATGATGGGGCGTGGCGGGGCGGGGCGGGGCGGCCTGGTGCACGGGGGTCAGCACGCCTCGCCCCGCTGCTGCTTTCTTTCCCTCTAAATGGATAACAACGCCCCTCTCGCTGACGCAACGCGGTACTCACATACGGTCCGGCCGCCCGACCGTCGGCCGTCGGTACAATGGCTCTTTCACACAAGATAAAGTTGGAATAACGGCGGGGTCAGCGCTTTCTTTAAGGCGAAAAGGGACGGGACGGCGGTTGATTAGAACAACAAGTCCTTTCCATTCCACGGTCGGGCCATGGACCATGATGCGTTGTGTTGTGTGCACAAGTTTACACGGCCAATGAACAGACTCTTGTGCACGACTATGCTGAATCATTGAATCATAAAGAATGTTATGCACAAAACTTTGTGAATTACTACACTTGAAGCAAATTTACGAATATAGGCATAGATATGGTTTTGAATTATTGTGATAAATTGTGCATAACTATGGGCGAACAAAATTCTGCAAGCCTCCATGCACAACATAAGGGATCATCCAGATGGCTTTCTTTACTTCGCTGTTACGAAACCGCCAAGTTCAGCTGATGCAGCTCCGCCAAGAAGGCACCACCCAATAGTGGTCGGAATTGTACTACTCGCCAGGAATTAGTACTCAATTAGTACTCTCACCCTGTCAAATGTGAGAATTTGTACTAACAAACTGAGGGCGCAATCCGAAAACGAAGCGGGGGGCTGCGTGCATGACGTTTGCACCGCCCAATTGTCCGATCCGTACGAGAAACGCATTCTGTTCGGAAGAATTAGTACTTTTCGAATATATTAACTTGGCAGAATTTGTACTACCTTCTAACACCATGAAAATTAAAGTCAAAGTCGGACGGCGCCTATAAACTGCCGGGTAGGCAACCCGCATTACCCGCACCACCCAATACAGTTTGAAAATTGTACTGAACGCCAAAATTTAGTACTCAATTATTAGTACTTTCACCCTGGCACATTAGTGGAATTTGTACTCACAAACTAAAGGCGCAATTCGAAATCGATCTTGAGCGGTGCGGGCGTGACGCAGCACCGCCCAATCGTCCCACAGCTCCCACGGACAGTGCATTCTGCTCGGGATGATTAGTACTTTGCGAACATCTGCATGCCGGAATCAGTACTGCACAGCAACTACCCATAAACGGTGGAAGTAGCCGAGTATATAGTAGCCCCTGCATGCTGCAAGACAGGCAATCCACAATACTCGCACCGCCCAATGCAGCTCGGAAGTTGTACTGTGAGCTTAA